ATATTCTTTTCTCTTTTTCTATCAATTAAGTATTGATCGATTGCATTGATAATCTATAGATAAATAAAAAATGTCATCAATTCTACAATTGCTGATCGCAACTATAATCGCTTGTATTCTGGTTGATTATGCAAGATCGAATAATTACTCATTTGCACAGCGTACAAAGTTAAATTATACAGATTGTGGTAAGTTGCGTTGTAAGGTTGCATTCACTGACCTTTTACAGAATAAATCACCATTTTTCTTCTCAGTCAGTGACTTTGGGGCGGCGCCAAGAAATCAAGCTGAGGAAGTCAAGACAAAAAATCAGAGAATGAAATACATTTCGTATAATTATTTTTTACTTTTTTCCAAAATTCTTTATCAATCTTTTTATTAAAAGCTTATCAGTGTATGTTTTATTTATCTGCAGCGTCTATAGACGAAACACAGAATTTTCTAAAAACTGAAAACAGCTCCAGAAAAAAAATGGAGATACTCTGCTTGCACCTCTAACCCGCGCGGTACCTATATAGGCCTGATATTGAGAATAACTAAATCACGCATAATTTCAACCTAACTTTAACCTCACTTTCTATCATGACACTACAGGATCTCGTTCTATACGTATTGAACGGTTTGATGTATCGCCAATGCCTATTATACAACCAGGTGAAATACAATTATCGTTTGCTGCAATACTTGAAACTGATATTAAAGGTGTTGTTAAATTCGATTTAAAAATTATCCGTACAGTTAGTGGAATCAAGTTGCCTATAAAATGCTATACCGTTAATGGTCGAAATATTGGCTCATGGTACGTTGTCATTTGTTTATAAAAAATAAAATCGTAAAAATGTTGTGCTTTATTTTCAGCTCTTATGCAGATTTATGTTATTCTATAAAAGACTTTTGGCTGTTTCTTGCCCATGATGACGATGATTCTTATCAATTTGATCCAGCTAATTGTCCAGCACAATTAGCACAATATGGCATTGATTGCACTTGTCCATTGAGGATACCTGCCCAATACATAGGTTAGAATGGACTTCGGATTGTCATATATTGATTCACATACTACAAGAAAATACTTTACTATATTTCGTAAGAAGTTGATACAGTCAGTAAGTGTCTTAAATTTTTGACACTTTACCTCGTAAATGTTGTTTCAACTACCAAACGTTCCAGTTATAAACTATTTTTCACCAAAAAAGTAATTATCTGTACAAATTACAGAGATGGTACGGATTTTTTCTTTATTGCTATTGAGGAGCATATACTCATGTAGAGAAACGTTGTACGCAGAATGATTACATCAAAAATCTGAGAGCTCGCCATAATCCTTCGGCAATAAAGTATAACTGATTCGGAGTAGTTTGTTGTCATCTTATTATATGCATCATTCAACTTTCAGTAATGAATTTATACAAAATTTATAAATTTTATAACATAGAATTTCCTTTTTTCAGATATTGATATTCCTGTTCGAATTCCAGTTCCACCACCATTGTAAGCACTATCAAATAAAAGTTCCATTTAAAAAAACGGCTTTTTGCATCTTTTTAGGATGCAATTTCTAGGAGCCGTAAGTGATATTCTTTTCTTGCAGTTGTATTTGTCCTTCTTTGTTCTTTATTACTTTCCTATGTAAACAAGTAATATTCAAATCAAATTTAGGGACAGTTTGACGTTAGAATTGAGGGTAGAAACGGAAATTTTTACGCTTGTTACGATCTGAAGTATGAAGTCATACAGCCAAAACCAACAACCACGACTACAACAACGACAACATTACCAACCTGTATTATGCCTGATGCTAACGTCATCGGATGAGCGTTAATAGTTAATTCTCGCTTTAAAAGATAAAACTTTTTTATGTTTTTTCATTAGATGGAAACAGTAAATAAAAAATTTTGAAAACTGTTTAGTGTGAAATGTATTTTGAACTTGAGGTCATTGGAGAAAACAGAGTAAGGCGGATTTAAATGGACTATCTTTTTTGGAATATGGAATCTCTAGAGACGTTTATCTCTCCTCCATACGAGCGACCAATATGCATCTGTAGTAAAAAGAAAGTTTTCTAGAAAAATTCCGAAATGATGATAATTTTTCATTTTCAGTCCTATCATTTACAACAATATTGTAGTATTGGAATTCTGAACGACGGCAGCTACTGAACCGAGATGGCGTAACGCAGGACGATATTCGCCGTTTCGATGAACAACAAGACCCAGTCATTCCTTACCCAGCCAAATGTTACATATGCCCGATAACGTGGGTATACCGATTGTAACTGTTCTGACTGTTCTTCTTATTGTTCTTCTCGTTTGCATTTCTTGTTACTGCTCTAAAACGAGACATGAACCAAAACAGAAGCGTAACAATCCTTTCGCTTTTCCTGTGCTAAATCTATGATACTGTTATTTGGTAATAACGGTCTCTCGTTATTTACATTCTGACAATTTACTTCAGTGATTGCGTTTTTTTTGTTTTCATACTACTACAATCGCGTACTTTTGCTTCATTTTAGCGCTAAAATGAAATCTTTTATCCAAAAGAAAGCATCATCTACCTGTCCACGTACATCCTTCTGAAATCATATGTACGTTTCTTAAACTTTGAGAGCTCAAACTTTTTTCTGTTACACACATTCAATAGCTTGTACAATAAGAATGTTTTGCTTGTTCTGTACAGTTAACAGAAGAGTTAGAATCGAGAATACACAGGTTTTTTCTTCTTTTTGTGTTGAATTGCGCCGAAAGAGATTCAGTCAGATCTAACACGACAACATCTAAACCCGATCCCAAAGTCAGGTCGAGTGACAGATCTCTAAGCCACATCACATATTTGTACATACCAAGACACAAAATGTTTTTGATTGTATACAAAGATCAATAGTCCATCATAATTATTTTAATTTTACATATGAGCTTGGTGACGCACAGTAAGTCATACATACTGGATTTGTCCGCAATATAATTTTTATTGTAAACTTTCCAACTTCATTCTCATTCCATGATTAAATACCAACGGAATCCCAAAAACTAATTTCAAGAATGAATTTTTGCTGTATTACCATCATTATCTTTTTTGGATCTTCATGCATACGTTGTAATTTATAATACTGCATTTTTTCTGTACATGAATCAAGTTTATCACTTGTTTTTGCAACGTCTTTTTGACATAATGCATTAATCAAAGTACTTTTACCGACTCTTGGTAGACCACATAAAAGAGCAGTATATACATTATTATTCTATATCTCGTTTTTTAATTCTGGAAGTAGAAATAAACTACAAAACGGCCTTCATAATTCCACATATAAGATCTAAGTGCTTTCTAAAAAAAAAAGGGTGCAGACAGAACCCTTTTAAGGGTTCTTTCCTTGGGTCTCACACCGATCTCTCAGAAGGGTTCAGTATGGTACCATTTATTCATTTTCGAAAAAGAGATAAAATTTTTTGACAAAAGACTCCGAAAAAGGTATCACGTAGTATGCTTGCGCTAAATATATTAAAAATCTCCAATACTTCGAAAATATTACTTTTTGCCAGCACATATGCTACAAACGTAGTGTCGGATCACATTAGAAA